CTTCGACTTGACAAAACAGCGATCACCACTGCACTGCTATCGTCACCTCATAGCAGTCGCTTCCACCAGTGGCTTTTCCTGTCTTTGCAAGGTGTCCAAGGATGGCTGCTGTTGTCATTACAGGCAAATCAGAAGTACTTTAGTGGCTGATGTCCAACCAGATCGTTGGAAAATCGATTTTTCCTCTTCAGGGCTGCTGATCGCGATCGCGACTTGGTGACTTGGCAGCACCACGGTTACCTTCATAGAAGATGGCTCTGGAGAGGAAAAGGCAGACCAGAAAAAGGTTACTATTGTCTTCAGCACCGATCTCAGGGAGAAAGAAATACGGTCTGCTAAAGCCTAGGCACAAAATAAATCTCAAAACACGATTCACGATTCGAATATTTCAACAACAAAAAAACTCACCTCTGGAGTAACTCCTGTTTGTGGCCCGAGATCGTTCCCTCCCGCGCCTTGAAAAATTCCTACAGCTGCATCACAGTCCATGTCTCTCTCGGAGACTCTGCTCCTACCAGCAGGAGGTTCAGCACCGCTCGAAGCCATCGCAAACTACTTGAACTAAGCAGAAGACATTCCAAAACAAACCTGAAACACACTGTCAAAGATGCTGTCACGTTCAAAAACTAGCTCGATCGCTCGATCGTGAGGTTGCCCCCGTGCTCGAACCCAGTATAATAAGGGGATCGGTCTATTACAGGCAAGGTTTGCTAGACCTCTACTGAAAAAGAAAAAAATTGCATTTGATTACACTTCTTCCATATCTGTCTTAAATTCTAAATGCTCCCTAGAGTCACTAGCCTATCGTCGTCAAATCATCAGTCTCACTACTTTTCACAGATATGTTTTCCATCATCGTGACATCGTGATTACCTTGCTGATTTCCATTTCAAGATTACGAATAGTGAGCGACGACCAAATAAAATCATTCTTCCCAAATTTAAATCATTGCCTAAGTCTCTCTTCATGTTCCGAAATGCTATTCTATGGAACTGTTTACCCCCCAGTCTAACATCGGAAGCCTCGCTCTATACGTTCAAAGCTGCCCTCAGGAAATTTACAGCTGACTATGCTTATGCAATCAACGGAATTCCGCCACCTTGCAGTTGATTTTCCCCATTTCTCTCCTCATCAATCCCTACTTCTCTTTGTACATACATCTACATCTACTGTTCTTTCAATCAAATGAACCCCTCGATAGGCACATTGCCTTTGGGTCATTTCATAATAATAATAATATCGATAAACACACACCCAGAAGTCAGGGGTGGGAGGGTAGGATACAAACTGCACTAACGAAAAGCCACTGCGAAGTGACAGGAATGCGGTCCAGCACAACATTTTTTGCTGACGCAAAAAGTTGTGGGGAAATCCCAAAATCGGTGCGATTTTGCATGAGCCCAAATGTTCAAGTTACCCACAAAGACACAAGCTTTCCAACTCTCTTTGGCCGTTGGAAAGCGTACCATATTGTGGACAGCTGTTATGGTCTTTTCAGGTCAATATAGTTGTAGAAAACTACCAATGATCAAGTCAAAGGAAAAAGAAGTTCAGAGAAGTGCAAAGCAGAGCTGGACAGCTGTTATGTACAATCCTGTAGAGCCTTTGTAGTCACAGATACGGGACAGATACGGGATAGCTCCAGGCGTGACACAAACAAACAAACACCAAATTAAAGCTGTGTGGACCCTGGCTAGCGCCAGACGTTACTGAAGTAACGTCTTCTGCATAGCAACGGTAATTAAAGCTGTGTGGACCCTGGCTAGCGCCAGACGTTACTGAAGTAATGTCTTCTGCATAGCTACGGGAATAATAATAATTCATAACAAAGTGCTCTTATACAGTGTCCCGCAAAACGAAGGGGGAAGGCGACGTGGAAGGTGACTTGCACGTCCTCCAATTTGGAGCAGGATTTGGAAAGTCATTGGAAATTTCGCCTTATCACTGTTCTTCCTAAAGAGGTTTGACTGTATTGCGCTACTGCCCCGCAGGGGTTGGTGATAGCGGTTTCAAAAATTGATTGTAAAGAGGTGATCGATTAGGTGCATTCTAGCGTTCGAATTCCAATTTTATGTCAGCATGATACAGGCTGATCTGTTTTATGGCTCCAATTGTTTCTTCTCTAGTCTTTCAAAGCAGCTCCTGGATAAACTCCACCGACAGTCAACATTCTGTGGAATGCTCTCCCAGTTGCCCTCCGTACCGAAGGCGATTGCCGGACATTTAAAGCTCCTACCACGGCTCTCGACTTGCCCAGCCTTTATTCATATTAACATTATCGTGTATCTAACTTCGTGTAAAAATCCATTTTAACAACCCATATCTCTCCTCCTCTCTGTGTATCTGCCTCTCTGTCTCTGTCTCTGTCTCTCTCTGTCTCTGTCTATTTGTCTCTCTGTCTCTGTTTCTCTGTCTCTCTCTCCTCTCTCTCCTCTTCTCTCTCCTCTCTCCTCTCTATCTCTCACTCCCTCTGTCTGTCTCTCTGTCTCTCTTTCTCTGTCTCTCTATGTCTATGTCTCTGTCTCTGTCTCTGTCTCTGTCTCTATCTCTCTGTCTCTCTGTCTCTCTGTCTCTCTGTCTCTCTGTCTCTCTGTCTCTCTGTCTCTCTGTCTCTGTCTGTCTCTGTCTCTGTCTGTCTCTGTCTCACTCTCTCTCTCTCTCTCTCTCTCTCTCTCTCTCTCTCTCTCTCTCTCTCTCTCTCTCTCTCTCTCTCTCTCTCTCTCTCTCTCTCTCTCTCTCTCTCTCTCTCTCTCTCTCTCTCTCTCTCTCTCTCTCTCTCTCTCTCTCTCTCTCTCTCTCTCTCTCTCTCTCTCTCTCTCTCTCTCTCTCTCTCTCTCTGTCTCTCTTTCGCTCTCTCTCTCTCTTTCGCTCTCTCTCTCTCTCTCTTTCGCTCTCTCTCTCTCTCTCTTTCGCTCTCTCTCTCTCTCTTTTGCTCTCTCTCTCTCTCTCTCTCTCTCTCTCTCTCTCTCTCTCTCTCTCTCTCTCTCTCTCTCTCTCTCTCTCTCTCTCTCTCTCTCTCTCTCTCTCTCTCTCTCTCTCTCTCTCTCTCTCTGTCTCGCTCTGTCTCTCTCTGTCTCTCTCTGTCTCTCTGTCTCTCTCTCTGTCTGTCTCTCTGTCTGACTCTCTGTCTGTCTCTCTGTCTGTCTGTAGGCACCAGAGGAGTATGCCGGCATAATGTTTGGCATAATTTGGCGGTGGACAATTTGGAGCGTCATTGGACATCCTTTCAGAGGTAGGATCGCAACTACATGACTGCGCGACAGTTCTAGTATGTAGGCTAAACAATTGTGTACAATGCATCTGATTAGTGCTGGTAGTCTGCATGGTAAAGAGTTCAGAGGTCATGATGATAGTGTGTTCAATGAAAATCAGAGTAGAAATCATGGCATTACATTATTGTATACTCGAACGTCTTCAAAGTTGTTTCTCTCACTGATACAGTACATGGAGCATACGGTGCGAGTCAATCAGCCTTTATCACGTATCCCTGGGTGGACAAAAAAGCGACGGGTAGTCCGCAAAACTCCGCGTACCGGTACATGTACATATTGCATGTTTACGAAGTCATGACCTCTGGGTTTTAGCAGCCATGACTGCGCAGGCTATGGATATTGCTCTATAAATAGTTTTAAAACAATTGAGGTGTGCACTGTAGTTGCTGTTCGGTCATGATGGAAGTAGAGGAGGAGGAGCTACGGGAGAGATGAGCAGATTATTCGCAGGGTGAGGTTGACATCGGTTGGAGGAAGGCAGTTGAACATGATAATTGTCAAAGGGAACTCAAACTTATATTGGCACTGAAAAGAATACAAACGAAGTCAACTAATGAATAGAAGAAGTCATGTTTTCTCTTTTCCATGTCGATCTCTAGCATGCATGGACACCTTGGTATGGGGATACTCATGTCTGTTGTTGTACTTATGGCCACTTGCAGTATGAAAAAGGCACAGTTTTCCGAACTTTGAGGCTCCATAAGTACAACAAAGTGATAACCGTTATGTATCCCTCCGTGTCAAAGCATAATATGGGGATTAAAAAAATTCACGGTTCGCGTGAGACTCGGCTGGAAGCCGGGTTTTCCGCATCTGTAGGAACGCCACCACCCTTCAAGGATCAAGGCCCAGATGCAGCTCCCAAAGCGGTGGGAGGTGAGTAGATCAGCTCACCAGCAAGTGGTCAAAGACCTAAAATCCCATTCACTGCATCCATGTTTTCCTCGTGCCCGGCCACGAGTTCCCAATTAACTGTGGGTCGCAGCACGGCTAGAAAAAATCCTTCCGCTTCCAAGCAGGACTTGAACCTGGTACCCTCTGTTTCTCAATCATGGTCTTAGACCATCCCACTATGCCTGCCTGCTGTATATGGGGATTAAGCGAGCATAAAGCGAGAATCCATTAAAGCATAATTCCATTATTTCGCGAGCCTATCTGTCTGTCTGTCTCTTTCTCTCTCCCTCTCTCCCATCATGCATGCGTCACACTCTCATGTAATATTTCTCTTATAAAATTGCATGCTTCACCCTCTCATGTAATATTTCTTTCTCTCTTAGACTTTTTGTGAGCGATTTGTCAATCCACTTGTCCTGGCAAGAAGGCTGCAACGCCTGTTCATCCTGGCGAAGTAAAAATAAAATCATACCAACCAACCAATCGAAGAAAGAGATTGACATAGACTGAAATGTTAGGTACCTCCTCCAATACATTCTACAGCCTTTTCCAAGCTGGTCTGCATGTACCCCGTACCTATCCTCATACTCTCCTTTTTCCGTTGGCCTGGGTTGCAACTTGCGTGCCCATATTTGTCATGGCTTTTGAGGGTCTCAACAGACATAAGGGCCAGGGATCATTAGCAAGCCGTGAAACGTCAACAGTAACGAGTTCATCATAACGCACGTGAACCCGGCGTGGTTTAGGGTTAGCTTCTCGTGTTCACGACGCCAGTCGGCTGCTTTCCAGTTTCAATCAGTTTCTGATAATTTTTACTGGCAATGATTTTTGATGTTAAACAACAACACCGAAAAGAACAAATTGAATTTCCACGATCATATCCGAGGCTATCTGTTCAGAAGGAGTGACTTGAATTTTCCAAGTAACCAAAATAACAAAATGCAGTTGTGTGCTAATGCTTCAAAGAGTACGCTCGATTACATAACAAATAAGCAAAGCGATGTAGTCAGCTGTGGAATGTAGATGGAATCATTCATCCCGGCCCCTGCGAATTCAAACTGTACGGCGAGCTACTTGACTTGAATCAATCCCTTGAGCGTTGCCTGTTCTCTCGCTGGAGACACACGAACAGGGTAGTGAGAAAGTAAACCCAACACACGAGAATGACCAGTGAGAACAATGTGAAATACAGACCATGAAGGTTCAAAAGATGATGAGCGGCAGCAGCGAACCCTCGTTCCACTACAGCTGCGTCAACATTATTATTGACGTTATCATTGACGTTATCATTGACGTTAGGTTTCAGAAGTATTCACACCAACGATAACCACGTGAAATACGATTTCAAATGCCGAACCAAAATATACAGTCATGTATATCTACTTTTCATAAGCATTACCCATCAATGTTTCCTTTCTCAGTGATCTCTTACTGATTCGCACATTTATAACTAACGAGATGAGGCAAGCAGGCAATTGAGATCAGATGGGCATTGAGCGGTTTTCCTAAATGAAAGCTTCACCTGTTGTAGGAAAAGGAGAACCCGCGTTCGGGGCGATTTAAGTGAAAATCGCAATAATCCACGTGGGGTCCACTATAAGTATGCATTATTGCACGAAAGAGATGAGATCTTTTACGATATCTATTATCTCCTGTATTAACCGAGCATGAGGGCAACACTTGATGTATCATGACATAGCATACCTGAACTTTGTTTTGCTTTGTTTATAGAAAGTAAGGACCGAGGTTGGTGCGAACCTACGCTCGCACCTCTAGCTGGCGAACGTCTTAGTTTTCGAAAATTGGATGTAAGTGAGGAGGCCAGACTCGATGTGAGCGCTTGGGGGAGTTGGAGCCGTGGTGAAGAGTCTCTTTTTTGATGTAAGGCTTTTTTGCCCAGATGCCCCTTCCTATCGGTTCAAATCTCTCGGCGCTCTCTACAAGCAACATGAGGATTCTAAGGGTCGCGAGTCCTCAATGTACAGCGTGGTTCTTTCACCCCTCTAGTGTTCGGTACTCATGGTGGTGTTACCCGTTGTGCACTGTTTTTCTAAACGTCTTTGTCGCTTACAATGTGAGTCTTCTGGTAGCGAATACTCCCTTGTCATCAGTCTGCTGCGTGCCCGTCTCTCTTTCTCCTTACTGAGATCCAGTATTCGTTGTACCCCTGGTGCTCGTTCTCGTCGGGGTTTCCCGTGCAACGTTTTGTGGATAGTTCCGTCGCGGTGGCTGAGTCTCGGCTTGTTACGTAATTTTCTGATCTTCTATACCGTGTCTACTTGTTTATCAAGTTTTTTGTTTTTTTGTTTTTGATTTTTCTGGATGAAGGTATTAGTCTTGAACTTTTAAGTTTGAAGTTGTTAGTGTTCTTATTAATTATTACAATGTTTTTTGTTTGCTTTGTTATTGTTTTTCTCCTTTTGAATTGAGTTTATTGATTGAGAAGGGAAGAGTGTGTTGCTCCCTACATGGGAGCTCGCGGTTTTCCTGCCGACTTGAATTCTGGAGAGCAGCATATAAGTGGTGCTCTTCAGGCACAATCTTCCTCAGCCTACTCAAGCTCAACTTATAAGGGGTGAATTCCCCAAAACACTGTGTAATATGCAGGGAATGGTGCTTTCTTGCAGGTTTGCCGACTGGACGGTTCGATGGACTTCTCGTGTGCTCTAGATAGCAGTCGTGAGTCAGTCAAGTGAGAATTCAAGTCTTATAAAACAAATTGTTTTGAAGTTGATTTGGGTTTGAAAATCTTTATTTCACACCCGCATTTTTCTGATTTCTTCTCCAGTATATGATTTCTTGCAATTTAATCGTAGAAAGGAAAAGGACATATGGAAACGAGTTAAGAGTGAATCTCCACCACTGTAACTACATGTAGATACTATATACAGTCACAAATTTCAAATCGCATTTTAATCCATTGTGTTAATTTGTCCGTTAAAGAGGCCTGGTTACAACCAAATATGGTCTACTGCATGCATTTAGTGCAACCCGGGAAAGTACAGTGACCATGCACTAGACACCGTTCAACTGCGCAACCCTAAGCAGTCAAATAGTATAAGCAGTCAATAGAGCCCTAAGCAGTCAAATATAAGCAGTCAATATAGCCCTAAGGAATGAAATATGCAGGAATATTTGACTGCTTAGGTATAGCGATAATCAATGGAAGTCAATAATCAGAGAGTGATAATAAAATATAATCCCTAAAATTCTAGTGTTTATCTGCTGTTACCATTACATTATGAATATGTGTGTCTGCTTTTAAACTGGTCAGGTCATAGCCACCTAATCTTACCAACTGCTGGCAGGCTGGTATGCACATGGCAGCCTTAGCTCCGGGAAATACCTGGTTCCGCTGTGCCTGCGATAGTCGAGATGTACTTAACTCTCCATTGACACTCATGGTCATGGTACTAGCTGCTCCATTAGCATAAAAGAACACAGTCGTGAAATTATGCTCCGGGAATTTCTCCCTGTGCGTGTTGAGCACAAACTTGATACAGGGCAAATCAGCGGAGGTTGGCAAACGACTTTCTGGACTTCCTGCGCAGTTTACAAGGTGATTGTTATAGGTTTGCAACGGATTATCCTCATTCTGGTAGAGTACGTATTGAATGCCACTTCCTGGGCATGTATGCACTAAAAGCAAAGGCAGGCATGTGCAGACAAGACACCGTGTAAACATAATGCTCGTTTTGCTTCGTTTAAATAAGCTGGATGACGATTCTATAGTCTCATGATGCCGAATATAATGCCGACATTATCCGCTGGACCCTACTTGTGGCTGAATTAAAGCTGCTGTCTCCAATACATTGAATATAATGCTCTTCCTTTTTGTTCCACCCGTAGAGCACTGAAAATATTCTCAAAAAAACGTTCTGCTTAACTGGAATTACCGGTAGACTTGGTTGGGACGTGCGCGCGTATTCCACATGACAGCAAAACTCTCCACTGCTTTAATTCTTAAAAGTGTATCTTTTTGTAGGTGTAATTCTGTAGTCATAGTAGTACTCACTTGAGGCACAGCCATCTCCCTGATTTTGATGCCAGCCGGCTTGGAAAATATTAGATGCTAATGGGTTGCATGTGTAATGATGACGGCGGGCAAGATATCCATTGTCACATACGGGAGTAAAGTGGGTGAAACCTTTCGAGGTATGGATCCGACCATGAGGTACATCCTTTCCTTGGCACCTGAGCTGCATCGCTGTGCCATAGAAAGGTGACCAGAAAAACAACATTCACTTGTTAGAGGGAAAGAAACGGGAATGAGCTGAAGAAAAATTTGATTGTCACCGCCACTCGAACTAGAGACCTACGCTTGAGGCCAGCCATGCTCTAACCAATGACCTACTTGTATAGTGTAGCTGCCGTCCCAGCAAAGACCGCTCACAGTTTGTTCATACTTCGTTACTAACACTTTCTATAAGTGTGTTCCGGTGGATAGGACACAGCCCTCACTCTAGCCCACACACTTCATGTAGACAATGGCACACACGGGAGCCTCAAGTCATAAAATATGCACTGGTTTGAGGGAAAGATGCAAACGGGACGAAAACTTGACTATCATCGCCATGATTCGAGCCAGGGACCTTCGCTTGAGGCCAGGGATGCTCTAACCACTGAGCTATGGTGTAGTTGTTATCAGAAAAAAGGTAACTTTAAAATTATTACCGCAGTGAAGTTTGTAGATCTGCACTACCCCAACTGAGTTAACACAATGTCTAAACAGGAGACACGATGCTGCCCCTGTGTTTCTGTTGTTGTCTCAGTGCTGATGTTCCTGGAGCTGTCGTCTGGATATGGCTAACAAAGCTGAACCATTTTCTTGAGCCAACTCAACTCTTGTATGCATGCAACAAAACTAAAACCAGGCAGACACAGTCGTTTCCAAGGCCATGATTGAGATACGAGAGGTACCTGTTTCAAGTCCTGCGTGGAAGCGGCTTTTGCAGCCAGGCGGCTACCCACAGTCAACTGGGAACTTGTGGCCAGGCACAAGGGGTACATGGATGTGGCTAATAGGGTTTCTCGGCACTTGTACCAGAGGGTGTGACACTTATCCCTTCACCACAATCTTTAGGCGTTGCATGGGTCGCTAGAGTTTACCGGATGTTAGCTGCCGTCGTGAGTTCGCTTCGGGAATGGACACAATAATTTACTTCTTTCAATGATACGAAAACGAAACATAATCGATCATGCAATAAACCTGTTATTCTATTAATCTCTCTATTTCTATGAATAAACTTACCGTCGCATAACGTAACCCGCCGGAAACTAGATGTTATCTGTCGAACGATACTCGTCGCTTTCCATCCGTTTTCCGTACATCTGGCCTTGTATATGCCGTCATAACCGGCGTTACACGAAACCCGAACTTCATGGTTTACAAACGTGCTATTCACAAATCCAAATGGCACGGACTGGGCTAGGCACTTACTGCCTGCAATACACGCAAAAATCATGGCACCAAAATATCATTAGGGACAGCCATTAAAAGAAAATGAGCGTTGCTCGAAACACTGTTTTTGCATTACATATTTACAGAGTGAAAGATATGCGTTTTAAATGGTTTATGGGACAGTAAGGTTCTTTCTGTGACGTCGTCGCCGTCGTCGTTGTTGTTGTTGTTGTTGTTGTTGTTGTTGTTGTTTGCTTGAATTCATTATTCTCACGATGGCACCATCGCCAATAAGAGATACGTTTATGAGAAGGTGAGATGCTGTGGGTGGGGCTGTGGGTTATGCACTTGGAAGCGCCTTTTAGGCCTCTACGGGACAAGTATGCCTTATTTCGGTGTCAAATTATTTATCTATCTCCTGTAAACGGATTCATAATGGTCTTTATTTTATGTCTTCACACAAGGCCTGGGGCCTTCCTTATTTGGTATACGCTGTTATTTCCCCGCATGGCTCCTGCTCTAAGGGTTGGTTCACATAAGCAAAATCGGCGCCGCAAGACATCGGCGGTGAGCCAGCTCCCGATCCGTTGCGCATACGGTTCGAGTACCAAATATACTACAAAGTAGTACAGAATGTGCCCAAATCCTACGACAGGTTTGCCAATTGAAGCTTGAATTCTTTGTTTCTTTAGTAGTTCAAGGTCTTTCGGTGATGGCCATGGCCACTCGGTGCTACCAAGAGTACGCAACCCCCGGGGGGGGGGGGGGGGGGGGTAATGTACTCTTGGCTCTACCTTTTACTGGAGATCATGAAAATACTTCTACACATTTTTATTGCAGTCTAGTAAGCGATTGTGTCGAAATTATGCTTACAAACGTTGGTGAAGTCACAAGAACTTGCCAATGTATCCATCATATTTTTTATTTGTTTCAATAGTATTTGTCTCATAAGTTGCACAATGGTCAAGCAGATCATCCGAGAAGGACGGGCTGGTATGTCGACTTATTTGCCACCTTGAAGCGACTACAAGAATGGCGAACGGACCTCCTCTCTAGCTTCAATTTAGGAAAATTTAGGACAAGTATTGGTTTGATATTTTGACAAAGTCTGGCTCCCGTTAGCCGGCGATCACCGGCGCGAACAGTTCACAAACCACTTTCGGTCAAAATTGTACGGGATCGGCGCAGGGGCAGATCGCAAGAGTTGGGCAGTGTTTTTTTTTTTTTTTTTTTTTTTTTTTTTTTTACTATATTCACATAACCAGCTCGAAAAGAATAAGGAAAGACAATGGTACGGAGACTAGGACAAACGTGACAACTAATGAGCAGGCGCTGCACCGAGACGCAGCAGTGATGGTGGGGCATTGATGACTCTGCCGACCTGAGGTCTCGGCGTCACGGCCAAAAACACGCACCAAAAACAATGAAAAAAGAAGAAGATAGAGCTGTACAGGTAAGAAAGATGCAAAACCCCAAGGCTTAACACGAGCGATTGTGGGGAGAAACTGTCTTAGCGTCATACTATTCATAGGGAATCGACTGCCCAGAGCCAGTTTGTGCTGCGAAGATGGCGGTAAACATTCGTTTTGAATGATTGCATTCTCTTGCTGTGGGGAGGCTGGGATAGGAGAGCGGCAGGGAGGGAGTTCCAATCGCTGATGCTGCAGTGTGGGAACGAGCGCTTCAGTGCCAGCGGGGCAGATGCAGGCAGCTGGTGTTGGAGCTGGTGGTCATGGCCACTGACAGCACCGTGCTCGCTGCGAGTTCTGGGGTTGGTAGAGATGATGTGGCGCGGTGGCAAAACAGAAAGCAGCTGCGGAGGACCAGGCAAGTAGTGCAGCTTGTACAGGCAGGCAAGCGAGGCAACAGTGCGGCGGATGGCCAGGCTGGGTAGGTGTGCCCCAGGGCCTATAGCATGAAGCGCGCGGCGCTGAACATTGTTCAGACGCTGGAGGTGGCTCTGCGCAGCTCCCATCCATACAAGAGGCGCATACTCCATGACTGGTCGTACGAACGCCTTGTATACGGTCGTCCGGCCGGCGGGGGTGAGTATGTGGGCGGCTCTGTTTAGGACCCCAAGCCGTTGGCGTGCACGGGTGGCTACGGAGCGTAGGTGATCGCTGAAGTTCAACTTGGCGTCCACCTTCACACCAAGGAGGGTGATGGTGGTTGTCTCGGGCACCAGTGTGCCACCAAACAGGAGTGGGGGGGAGATCTAAGCCGGTGCGTCTGAGGGTGGCTGTCATAAAGTGTCCAACTTTGCCGGCGGTCCCTTGCGATATTTTACCGTATGATTTTGTTACGACTGCACTGGTTCACACAATCGCAATGCGCCGGAAGAGGTTGCAAGAAGCCCACCGCCGGTGACACCTGGCGCGTACCGGCGATATGTGAACCAACCCTTATGCAACAGTTCGTACACATACTTCGAAGTAATAGAGAGGTTCCGCATAACGTAATTACGTTAGTAAAAAACGTAGTCGATCTACGGAAAGTCTTACGTAAACTGCATGCGCATCTGCGTTCCGCCATACGGAGTTTTCAAATCACGTAGCTGCCCTTGGCAACTCCGAACGCGGCAGTGTACGACCAGATCGACCTGGGGAGAGAGTCATAAATTTGTACCCCAATCCACTTACGGACCAGCTACGTTATCAGAGCCCTATCTACGTACTCTACGTAGACAACTTTCCGTAAGTGGAGTGCAAACTCGCGAATTCACGGGTTTTCCCCGCCCACTAACGTAAAGTTGCTCAACTTTACGTAGTGCGGAACCTCTCTAATAGAGAGGTTCCGCATAACG